TCCTTTCTTCCCTTCATCTTCTCCCCTTCCCTTCCTCCATCCCTTGTTATGGACTGAACTCTGTCCCCACAAAATACGTGTGGGAATTGAAACCCCTATACTTGTGGATGTAATGTAATGCAATGTAATCACTTTCCATAATGCAATCGAGCGTTATGTTGACGTGAAATAATGTGGAGAAGCTTGTACAAAATGAATTTATCTGGTATGGAACAGGATGTTTTGCGGTTTTAGTAGTTGTGTTAATAGCTTAAACACTTTTTAATAAAAATGGAATAGGACACTTTATTACTCGGACATCTGAGCTATGCTTACGTTAGCATTCAGCCAAACTGAAGAGAAGGCAGCCTTGGCCAGGAGCCCAGGACTTATAGTACCTGTTCCACCATCATATATCATGGATGAGCTCTTCTTCAATGTCAGACACCTTGCTGATCCCTTTACATGCATCAGGTTATTTAATCCTGTGAGGTATGAGTCCTTATTTTAGCACCTAGCAGAGGTATGCCTATCTGGCATAGATTAGGCACTCAATAAATATTTCTTGAACAGTGCAGTGATAAAGACCTAGAAAGGTTAAATGACTTGTCCAAGGTCATTGACAAGAGGTTGATCCAGAACTCAAGGCCCGGTCAGGCTACTCCAGAATTGTAAAGGTGGGAAGGCTTCCCTTCTGCATGCATGAGGGTGCCCCCTCAGACATTATCATTCCACTTAACTAGGACAATGTCTTAATAGTCAACCTCCTTTTTTCACAATTATTTCTCCATCTCTCTCTCTCTCTAGATTCTTGATCCAGTCAGTGAAGACAGGCCGGGGATATTTTACCATGCTGAGGGAGGAGAGTGCAATGAAAAAGAGGCAACAGCAACTTCAGAAACTGGAAGAGGAAGAAAGAAATAAATTCCAACCAGCCAAAAAGATCTCAGAAATCCATTATGGCAACACTCTTTTGACGTAAGTGGATGTGATGGCTCTGGCACTAACAGTCTTGGAAAGGACAACTCAGAGCGAACACTGCCCGGTTGGGTTAAGTAGTATCTTCACTACATCCATTCATCCTCACGCTTGATAGTGAGAGATACACAAGAAATCTTGCTGGTCCCCAAATGTGCCCCGTTCCCTGCCTTTCCTAGACTTTCCTTACTCTGGACTCTTCCTGCACTGTTCCTTGGGTTTTAAATATCCTTTCCCACATTCTCTGCCAGCTAAAGTTCTACTCATCATTCAAAGCCCAGCATAAATGTTCCCCCTCTTCTGATCCTTCCCAAATTTCAGCCCAACCACCTCCAGCACCCCTTCGGGCTCTGGGTTCTGAGAACGTGTGTTTGTATAGTACTTTACTTTTTCCACCTCAACATCCCTATTCTAGACCTTAGCTACATCTCCAGGTCCTAGCTCATTGTCCACACAAGGTGGGTGTACAAAAAATGTATGTTGTTTTGTTGAATAAAAAGCTGCATCTTTCTGTAAAGGACTTTCCTCTAGTTGGGGGAGGACCATCAACACACTGGTCCATTATGAAATGCCCATTAATATAGTAATAATAATAACAACCACAACAACAATGATGATGAGTGTTTACTGTGTGCTTCATGCACATCTTTTCATCTAAATCTCAAAACATAAGAGACAGGTACTATTATTAGCCAATTTTAAAGATGTAGGAACGAGGCTCAGAGATGTTAACTAATTTCCCCCAAGGCCTTAAGTTAGAAAGCATCACTGAGTCTCAAACTCCCTTCTGTTTGACACCCGTATCTACAGACTGCATGGACAAAATCCTAGGGTACTTAGCTTGTGCAGACTGAACGAGGCACACATTAGGAATGGGAAAGAGGTGCGGAAGCAAGCAGAGGGAATACACAGTAGAAATGGCCTGAAGCTACACCACTGCCCCGGTAGAGCAGCGGTCTCAACCCTGGCTACACATTAGAACCACCTGGAAAAATTTTTTAAATACTGATACCCAGGCTGCACCCCAGATCAATAACATCAGATTCTCTGGGAGTGTTACCTGGACCCAGTATTATTAAAAGTTCCCCTAAGTGATTCCGATGTGAGGTCAAGGTTAAGAGCCACTGTGTTAGGGTTACCTTCAGGAGGCCAAATTGCTAGACTGTTTGCCAAAGAGTAAATGGAAGCCTCAGCAGACACGTCCTTTCATCTGCACCATTTCCCAAATTCTGTTCTCCTGAAGCTTATTTAAAGAAAT